TTATCTGGCAAACATAACGGGTGAAGTTAATATAAAAATAGAATGATAATATACACTTCTAAAGATGTTAGTCTTAATTCTTAAAATGGTTTTCTGTCTTCGGAAATTATCGGGGCATTTCTGATGATTTACGCCAGTTATTCATCACTGGTCATCGGGAGGGTCAAGGATATCGAAAGATATCAAGGCATTTGGGGTTGCCAAGGATATCTGTGGCAAGGAAATGCCAAACATCTGAGAAGGCGGAAGGGCCATCGGAATCCAAAACTGGCTCCTTCACAGCAGCAGGAATTGGTTAAAATTGTTCAAGTGAAGAACTCCTTGACTTTGGAAGTTACTGGAAGGAATCTGTTACTTAGATCTGTAATACTCTCCCGCACGTAGCGTTGTAGAGCGTATTGAAGTACATGTCGGCCTCCCGCACATTATGCAGTTGGGCGTACCCATACTTTCATACTGTATGACAGCTCTATACTACTCGTGTAGTTCCACTCAGGTACAGAAGGTACGAATTTCAAAAGTAGGAATTACAAAATTTAACAACTGAAATAAATGAATTAAAATGCCTAATAAGTCATTTATGTGGGAGACCTTAGACTTCATTTCACCCATTTTCCAGATTGCTTTTGTACAGCAACTGCAAAGCCTCATTAATCAGGACGAGACGACTTTTGACGACGTGAGTTTTCCAAAATTGGGATTTCAAAAGGACTTTAATATGTCAGACCACATAGCATCAACAAGCACACCTCAGCAAAAATGCCATAACGCAGACAATGAAAAACGAAACACACTTGTAAGAATCTCCGACACGTTCAGGATAATAAAAAAAATTTAAAAAAAAAGAAGAAAAAAAAAACAAATATAAAAAAATTTGCACTACTGCACAGCAATGGGCCAGGTGAGAAACCGATCTATATGCAATTCTTCACATTCACAATCACATTCTTAACAAATGGAACATCAGGAAGTATTCTTTGGCACAGATTCTGGAATTCGAATGGACTTTGATAATAATAATAATAAATGAGAAGCACTTCATGTACAACGGAAATCATTTCAATAACAAAAGGGGGCAATACACTTTAAAACCTGCATAGGATTGGGATTTCAAAAGGACTTTAATATGTCATATCACATAGCATCAACAAGCACGCCCTAGCAAAAATGGGGAAGCTCCTGGAATGCCGAACTTTCTGTCTTCCGTGTATGCCGATTTTACACTTGTCCGCGAATGCCGATTGAGCCTTGTCCGCGAATGCCGACTGGGACGATGAGAAATATCTCTCCACTTTGGATGATTTCGGGAATGCCGAAGTCGAAATTCGGCATTAAGGGACAGGTCGGCGGAAAAGGACGCCCCTTTGGGGCATTTTCCTTGAATGCCGACACACAAAAAATGCTTTTTCGTTACAATCTCCATCCCCCTCATCTAACACTTCCGGCAAGTTTTCTTCGGCGAGCGTATAAAATGGAACGGTCTTGGATAAACGACGAACATGGCTGAGGAGGCTTCTTGTAGACTGGAACGGGATCCTCGAGGAGGTGAAAACCTCATCGTTAACCAGCACGTATTTCGGTCTGAGAAGAAGGAGAGACGGAAGCGCTATTGGAAATGCAATGAAGGTAAGTCCAATGCTCCACATACAACTCTTGGGTAGATTCTGCATACCAAAAGAACCTTTTCAATATAACCTAGTGTGTAGTTCTATGACTGAAACTGATCATTCTTTTGAGAGATGCTAACTTTGTGGAGAAGACTGTTTCTAGACTTAGACTTCGTTTTCTAGACTAAGTGCAAAATTTGTAACAGGCAGGAATGGCGCATGTCACTAATTTCACTTCCTGGCGATCAACGTTCTCTCTTGATTCTTATATCAGATATATTTGGCCCCCCTCGTTTCGTTACTTTTACGTCTCATGCTACAATTTCAGTTGGCTGCCCAGCAAGGGTTGCAACGAACTGGAGCAGCACTCGAGTCCTACTTGAAAGAGGAATGCACAATCATGAGTCTAGAGTGGCTGAAATGCGGCGAAAGTGCTTCAGCCGCAAAATCAGGGAAAGAGCAGCGTCCGAGCTGGCTCCTGTTCCTGGCATATACCGACAAGAACTTGTTGCAGCTGTGGCCGATGGTATTTCATTTGATCTGGTTCCATCTTTCTCATCGGTGAAGTCTGGGGCTTACGGCGCAAGACAAGCATCTTTCCCGAGGAATCCAAAGAGCAAGGCAACACTGCAGCTGCGGGGGGGAATGGACCACAACGGTCGACGGCAGGCCGTTTCTACTGCACCATAACGAAGGAGAAGAGTCTGGAATAGTGATGCTGGGAACTGCGGAAAACGTGGCAAAGCTCTCCAAATCTGATGTGATCGTCATGGATGGGACTTTCAGGGTTGCTCCTCGTATATTCTACCAGCTGTACGTCATTCATGGGACTGTAGGAGAGCAAGTTTTTCCTCTAATTTACGGTCTACTCCCCAACAAGACCAGGAAGACGTATGATGCTTTCTTTTCTATTCTCAAAACCATTGCTAAAAGCCACGGCATCAGCAATGTCATTCAAGGATGCATATTGGTGGACTTCGAGCAAGCCCCTATTGCCTCCCTCAGCAGCCTCTTTCCTGGGGTACATATCAAAGGTTGTCTCTTCCACTTTCGGCAGGCGATCTGGCGGAAATGCCAAGAATTAGGACTTCAGCCGTCATTCAGCAAAAATGATGAAGTCTCGAAATGGGTAAAGCGTTTGATGGTCCCCCTAGAACATCTGGACGACGCTTCTGTGGATCATGGAACAAAGTCCAAATGTCGTTCCAGCAGGAAAACGGCGTGCCCTGCATGACTACATATGTGAGACATGGATGGATGATATCACACCCTGCTTCAGCAGACACTTGTGAAATCACTTCGGGAGGAGCGGACCTCGCACGACTAATTCAGCTGAAGCATGGCATGCAAAAGTGAGCGAGTTCACCAAAAGTTCCTTCACCAATGGATGCAACTCTGCACCGATCTTTTCCTTTTTATAGGTGAATCGTGTGATAGCGAAGTCACATCCAAATATACCACGTATACGAAGTTCTTGCCTGGATGAAGGAGGAGCAAGCAGTCAACGAAATCGGAATCGCCCATGCATGCGAGAGAACTTTCCAAACCCGCAAAAAAATCACTCGAGGTCGCATCAGAGAAGAAGCTCTTCACAAATTAGAGGACAAGTTGACCAGGCGTGCAATTACAGTTTTTCACTTCATGGACTCAGCGACGAAACTATATGGTCGTGGCATGCCAAAGTGAAAAAATTGCAGATTACCATGTGATGTGTAATTCATAAAATTGTTATTTGATATCTCAATAAAACAGAAATTCATCATACCTTTTGGAGATGTGTCGGCTAAGAAAGTAAGTAAATGCTTCTTTTACTTTAACTTTAAACTTTAAAGTACTAAAAACGTTAAAACTTTAGTCATCAAAATGTAATTGAAATTGGCCATTGGTCGGCATTCCGGGAAGGTTTGACCAAGACTGCCGAGACTAAAAAATCAAAGCTTAGAGTGGTAAAATGTACCTTCCTGAACTCGTGTGGGGACGGTGGAGTAGTGGTATAGTAGTCGAAACGAAACACATTGGTCATGAAATGAAGGGTTCGAATACGGACAAAAAAAATTTTGGCAGTGGCGGAAGAGAGTAATCGGCATTCCCGGAGAAGACTTCTGAGACAGGTTTCACAGTTCGGCGTTCGTGGAGGGATAATGCCTGTCGGCGGTCGTGGAAGCGGCATTCCAAGTACTAACCCGCAAAAATGCCATCGCGCAGACAATGAAAACGAGACACACTTGTAAGAATCTCTGACACGTTCAGGATAATGAAAAAAAAAGAAGTATAATAAATTCGCACCACTGATCAGTAATGGGCCTTAACAAGATATCACTAGGAAGTATTCTTTGGCACAGATTCTGGGATTTGAAATGGACTTTGATAATCATAATAATACGTGAAGATTTAAATAATAATAATAAATGAGAAGCACATCATGTACAACGGAAATGATTTCAATCACAAGAGGGGGGCAATACACTTTAAAACCTGCATAGGATTGGGACTGGGAGCCTGGGATTGGGTCGCCGCCTCCAGGAGGGTTGGAACCGCCTCTTGGCCATAGGACGACGTGGGGTGCTGCCCTTTACCCAGATTTTGCTACTCCCGCCCTTTCCTTCAGGATAAAATGTTTTTAAAATTTCAATTCCATGTCCCCGTCTTCATGCAGTTGCACAATTGGACCCCAGAAGTCGGCAAAGAATGATGGACGTTTTTATATGGTGCAATGGAGGTATAGGCTTGTTTCACTTTTTTTTCTAAAGCATCTCTAAAAAGGGTGATTGGCTTCTCCCCATTCTCTGCTTCTGAAAGGTCAGACATGTATGATTTATAGATTTTGCTCTTGGCAAGCGTCAATATGAAATCAATGATGGAGATTTCTGATTTTGTAAGGGAAGCACGTTCTGGGAAAATGTGGAAGAGGAACAGTTTAACATTCATGGTTATGTTAGCATGAATCAATTTCAAAATTGTTTCGATGTATACACTCATTTCCTTTAATGAGGGACATTCAATAAACATGGATTAAAGTCCCCAGACTGTCACATGAAGGACATAATGGAGAAGAGTTGCTGTTCATTTTAGATTTCAAAACTGGGGACACTAGGGAATTGTGTAGAAGTCTCCAGTTGATGTCACCGTCTTTTTTTCCGAGGGGAGCCGGTAAAAAGATTTCCATACAGGAACAAATTTTTCTGTTTTATCAGGAGGAATTTTTTTCCTAATAGTGTGTAGGTCTATGGAAATCTGTCTGTGTATCCTGGGGTTTATTCTTCCTGTAATTGGTATAGTGTCTGGGTTCATCCATGAGGTACCATTGTGCATATCTTGTAAAATTGGTTACTTCCCAAGCAGTAGACGGTGAAATGGAAAAGGCATGGAGGAAAATATTGGGTTTCAGTGGAATTACAGGAAAGAGGTCAGAAGAAACCTCAGACTTGCAACTGAGGTTTAAAAAAAAACAAAGTATAGCTGTTTCTATAATGTATGTAGGAGCTGTTTCATGTGTGATGGGTGGTGAAATTAGCAGTAGAACCCCTAGACTTCTGGAAGGGAAGTCGCAAGCTGAGCAAATAAAAAAAGAAAGGTGTCACATGGTGGATGTCTGCTTGTCATGGTAAGAAACCGTTTTAGAAAAGAAAGGTGAATGGAAAGTCTCCTGGCTTCAAGGGAGACATGATTTTGTCCGCCAAGGAGAAGCTTGCAGTGAAGATATACTTCCCTAGCTAGACAGATTTCTAAAAAGAGTTAAGTTTTAGGAGGAATGCAGGTATACCGGAGTTTTGGAGCTATCAGATGATTATCACAACACGTCCACGATAGGACGGGAAACGAGGAGTCCATTTTGCACTTTGTGCTCGGCATCCTCCCAATTCTTTTTTCTTCAAATTCTGCATTTCCAAGACCTAGAAATTTCAGACCCCTTTTCTTCCATCAGTAGAATTCTAATTCTAGTTTGCCAAGATCCACACCAGAGTCCTGAGATTTTGGAACATTTAAGCAAGCATTTGAAGATTTTGCATATTTATCAAAACAATCACGGAATGAGTTGAAACCATACTCAGAAGATATGAAAATTGTGATATCTGCAAACAATATGAGGATATCCTCATATTGTAGAAACAATATGAGGATAAGGAGCAATGGGTGAGTGGAATGCAGAGTGTGCTAGCTGACGACGAATTAAATGGAGGAATGGTTCTAAGAGAAGGCCAGATAAAGGATCACCTTGTCTGATGCCTCTATTCCCTATTATAATACTTCCCATAATACCTATAATTCCCGTACTTCCCTATTCCTCCCTATTTTTTTAAAATAGGGTTTTGATTGCTGACGAAAACAGACTAAAGGAGAGGATAGTTTCTAAAGGGTGTGAAATCATGCGAAACACAAAGTCCTTTTCTTTATACTTGCTGGAATACCAGATTACGTCACGAATTAGGTGGAGATTGTTGTGAATATTGCGATTAGGGATGCAGTATGTTTGGTCAATGTGGATGATGGTGGTCAAGCCATGTTTCAATCAAGTGGTTAGAAGATTTTATAATCTTTATTCAGGAGTGTAACGCCAGTTTCTAATATCTAGTTTATCACCACCTTTTGGGACTAAAGTGATCAATCCGCGTCTCAAGGAAAGTGGAAGAAAGAGAAAGTGGGGGATTGGATCTCTCCAATCCCCCACTTTCTCTTTCTCAAGACAAGACAAGAAGGGTTCTCTCAGTATGACCTTTTTCTGGCCATACTTGAGAGAACTTGAGAGAATCCCCAGTAATGAGGTGATCGAGCCAAGCATGTGTCCGGCGCTTCGTCAAGAGTTCGGTGGCACAGTCCTTGTTCGCCTGTGTAAGGTCGTGGGGCACATAACGGCCGAGCATATTCACTAAGCCGAGCTTGTCCAGGCCACGGGATACGGTGGAATAGTGGCAGGAGAGACTGCTTGCCGATCCGCCTGTGGTCTGCTGGCTGTTGCTCTCCAGCTCTGCTTTCAGGGCATCAGAATGCAACTCCGTCGGGCGTCCGGACCGCGGTCTGTCTTCAACGTCGTAGTCTCCAGAAGAGAATTTGGCAAACCATCGTTCTACCGTGCGAAGACTTATGATGTCTCCGCCATGAACTGCGCACACTCGGCGATGAGCTTCCGTAGCTCCGACGCGAGAGTGGAAGTGGAAGAGAATGCAGTGACGGAGATGGATCTGCGTTGGCGTGAATTTCTCAGAGGCCATGAGAGATGATGGGATGAGTGAGATACAACAGACTGTCCTTATATACCCATACCTACCACCCACTCGCCAGGAATTGTCAAAGCCTGGAAGTCTTATTAGAACATGTTACATTCAACACCGACAGGACTTCTGCAACAACCTAATAAAAGAGATGAGATTGATGCTTTGCATGCAAATAACGTACCTTCATTTTAACGCCAGAATTCTTTCTTTGTGTGCCAATCAGGCAATACGTCATTTCTCTCTACCACCGGTAAAGCGGTGGTGAGGGCTCAAAGGGTTAAAGGAAGGCAACAGTTTCATCTTTCATATATGGAAAAAACTCAATATCAAGCGAACTTTTTTATATATATAGGATGGGTCCCAAAAAAGGGAAAAGTTTAACTTCACTGAGGGACTGCAACAGTTAAATCTTATATGGAAACAACCCAATATAAAGTTTTTAAATTCGCCGCAACAATGTGCGACTTACACTTGACTGGCTGAAAGTCATCCAGTGAATTTTCGTCAACTGTTCGTTGCGGGACATGTAAACATTTTCCTGCAACTAGGACGGTCATTTTTCATCCTGAATAAACCTTATTGGCATTTTATACTGAACCCGTGGTTCTGAAATTCTCCTTCAGTCATATTGCTCTATATCCAAGTACTAAGGAATCGTCAATGAAAGTTTCTGTGCACGCAACACGTAGTAATTACACATGAGTTGCTTACCAGTAAAAGAAAAACCCATGGAATTACGTTTTCCGAGTTTTCAGAAGTTTTTTACCGCAAAAAATTCGTACTATCCTGTTTTACTCATTGTTTGCCTGAGTGATCCTAGGCCAGACTCAATGACGATGATATAATCTGAAAGGTACTCAAGACCTCTGCAGCATTTCTGCATGTCTTTCATGTTATGCTAAGGAATGAGCGGTAAGGAAATTTTCTAACCAAAGGCCAATATGCATTAACGGTGTTTATCCTGTTTAAATCCAAAATAAATGGATTGACGGCAAGGTGTCGTGCATTCGTCCACTTTTTTTTGCCGTACATCATTTACCAGCGTCACTGGAGTATTTTATGCAATCACTCACGATCTAGGACGAATGAAAGCCATGTCACGTGTTTCCGTGTCACATGTTTCCATACAGTATTAATCACACGTTCATTTCTCAATACTGACCCCTCTCTATATGGTAATACCTACCCTACAAAACATTTTGCTATCATGCAAATCATGCAATCATGCAAAGCATTTAACTCACAAGTAGATGCGGACGTCACAGTCACGACGAACCAGGGAAGTAAGCTGAAAAAGAACTCGGGTAAGTCTTCAACATCCTATGTCGATTTTGAA